GTTAAGATGGCTTTTAATTACCTCAACAGAGCTTTGAGAGTTAATCTTTGATATAGGAAATTCGCAGTGGCCCTGCCAGTTTAAGTTTGAATCAATATGGAGTCAAAAAAATTTAGTTTCTCTAACATCGAGTTTATCGTCATCCAATCTAACTTGAAACCCTCCTGCAGTTTTTTGTGCACGATGAAAACGAATAAACGTTGTTTTGGCCGAATTCAATTATAGTGAGTACTAGTTAAACCACGTATTAATTTTCCTAATTAAGCTGTTACATTTATTTTCGAAAATCATGTTTGAATTACTTGAGATTATGGCAGAAATGTCATCAGCATATGCTGTGAAATGAGTATTTGGATCAATATTATCAAGCTGATTAATGTACACGGTGTTCCTTAATGATATGCAAATGTTTAAGTGGGTTTTTTGCCAAATAAAAATTATTTTTTAATTCTCCGTTCAATTTAAAACAAATGATCTCTTTTGTATTGTTTTCCTCCGATGCGCCATTTTTGAGTAAAAAAATAAAAACCGTTCTATTGTCCGAGAAAATTAATGTAATAATTGAAGAATGCAATTTAGCAATAAATATCTAGTTGCTCTGGAATATGTCAATGGCTTTTGACATCTGATAAGTCTGTTATTCAAATCTGTTCCCTGTGACATCTTTTTCATTATTTAGTTTTTACAACCTTGTTAATAATGGTGAATTATTCAAATGCAGAAATGGCGGAAATGCATTACGTATATGGCCTTGCCGACGGTAATGGTGAGCAAGCCAGACGAATTTATCACCAGAGATATCGGGATCGTGCTTTGCCAGATAGTCGAACCTTTTCTAATATTCATCGTCGTCTTGTTGAACCTGGTTCTGTCAGACACTTAAATATTACTTCCTATTGATTTTCCAAGGCGTGTGACCTTTTTTCAAATTACACAAAATCCGCAATTTGTATCAATGATTCTGTTCATGGACGAAGCTATTTTTTCTCGAACTGCCATTCAGGATTTCCACACTAATTATTATGGGCAGAAGAAAATCCCTATGCCGTAACCGAAACCCATTTCCAACACCAATTTTCGGTTAACGTATGGGCAGGAATTATTGGCCCATTCTTCTTGCCGGGACGACTTCACGGACAGACTTCCCTCAATTTTCTTCAACATCAGTTGCCTTTGCTGCTTGATGATGTTCCGTTAGTAATAAGAAATAATAAGTACATTCATGATGGTGCACCAGCGCAGTTCAGCGTAGCGGTTCGTAATTATTTACAAACTGTTTATCCAAATAGTTGGATTGGCCGCGGTGGGCCCCAAGAATGGCCACCAGGGTCCCCAGACCTCAACAGTTTAGATTTCATTTTGTGGTTCTATCTTAAGACACTAGTGTACACAAGTCCCATTAACACTGTAGAGGAATTAAGAGAAAGGATAGATGCAGCTTGTGCTAGAATGAAAAACACTCCAGGGATATTTCAACGAGTGCGCAATTCCATGAGAAGGGGGGCGGAAGCATGCATACTAAGTGAAGGGAGACATTTTCAACAATTTTTGTAATCATTTCGTTGGTTTTAGTGTTATGTTTATGTTGTCAGTTGTTGTTGTTCATTACATCTAATGTGTTTTTCCCATTAAATTGGTAATAATTTTGCAAGTTGGACAATAGAACCGTTTTTATTTTTTCACTCAAAAATGGCGCATCGAAAAAAACAAGTCAAGAGAGATAATTTGTTTTAAATTGAACAGGGGATTCAAAAATAATTTTTATTTGGCAAAAAACCATTGGCGTACCATCTTTTTCTTAAAAAATATCGAAGTCAGTACCCGTACGCACGTCACTGTTAAAGCTAAAAACTATTTTTGCATCGAAAAATATGCAACTTTATCAAGTTTCACTACGCACTAAATATCAGTGAAATATCTAAAGCGGTTCTGAAAATATTAATTAATTTCCATTTTTTCCCTAAAACTTCAACACCCCGAGTTTTTGTAAGGAAACATTTTGGACCATAGTTTATGAAGCACCCTTAAATATTCGCATATCATTAAGGAACACCCTGTATAAGAGAAAAAAGATTGGTCCAAAAATAGAGCCCTGGGGGACTCCAATCGAAATGTCTAACGTTCCTGACACCAAATTTTTTATATTGCTCGCTGCATCAAGATATTGTATGGAAACATATTGTTTTCTTTTGACTAAAAACGATCTGGCCCATTCAAGAGACTGACCAACTAAGACATATTTACTAACAATTTCCACGCTAAGAGGATAATAATAATAGTAATAATAATAAGCCCTATTACCCAAAAGTTTACCATTTACCAGGTAATTTATATAAAACATAAGCTTGTTCTGCTAGCTCTCACAGTATGCACATGAAAATATTACAGTAAGGTGTTATCCTGTTATAATTGTTACACATAGTAAGGACGGGAGATTTAACTAACATATTTGTTCTTGGCCTATCGCACTTAAACGTAATATTTATCCTATCACTTAACCTAGGTACATTAAGATTTATGTGACTCTTATATAAGAAGAAAGAGATAATACGAGTATATTTCGCCTCAGTTGCAAAGTATTTCATAATCAATGCCGCGTTCAGCGTAAGTCCCATCAGCTTTAAAAGCCATGTGTTTTAAGCTTTTCGTTTAACGTTTTCTAATGCAACAATATAGCAATCATAGAAATTGTCACATATGGCACAACCATATTGTATTTTAGGACGTACGAGTGAATTGAACAACAAATGGACTACACCAGTATTCGAAAAGATCCTACAATTGCGCATAAACCCATAAAGTTTCAAAGCATTCCTAGCTCCTTAAAACTGGTTGCTTTTTGAACTTCACAACCATTGACCACATAGTTTTAATTAACACCTGTATTTCTTCTGCTATATGTGACAACTTTGCATTTTTGGGCATTGAGATGAGGGTTGTTCTGAATACACCACTCTTCAATGGCAACCAAGTTATTTTGAAGTAATTGTCAATCATGTACCACCTTAATCTTTAAAAAAATCTTGACATCATCCACAAAACACAACAAATTGTAATCAATAGCTGCTAATAAATCATTAATGTATAAGATGAATACTAAAGGACCTGCATCTGAGCCTTGCGGAACACCAGACGTAGCTGAAATGGAAGTTGACTTAGATAGGGAATATGACATAAATAAGAGCCTATCTGATAAGTATGGTTTTAAAAGCTCAACAAGTTTATCAGAAAAACCGTAATTATAAAGCTTTGACAGTGATTTTTTATGAGAAACCTTATTAAAAGCTTTCCAGAAATCAGTCTATATTGCACTGTAATAATCAGATTAGTGACTGTAGGTAAATTGTGTATAAACCTTTGTTGATTTGTTGAAATATGTTTCCTAACAGATGGCTGTCTATTGTAAAGAGCAATATCAGAAGATTTTGAAAAGTTGCACAGAATGCACACGGCTCTATAATTTCCAATATGGAATTTTCTCATCAAGGTTTTGGATGATTTGATTCACTAGACTTAATATGTCTATGGTAGATGTTTATGCTACAGAACCGTATTGATTTGGACTTAGAATTTTGAATTTATTAAGGAAATTCATCCTCTTACTAGAGAGTAACGTGAGTGATGTTGGTCGATAACTGGTAACGTCCATATTATCGCCTGTTTTGTAGACATGAATGATAACAGCTGATTTAAAAACAGAATAAAATATTCCAGCCTTTATTTACAACATAACCAAATGGTTCTGATATTTGCTTGGGTATCATCTTTAGATGTTCAGCTCTTATTCCATCAGATCCTGGGTTTTTCTTATTTTTCAGGGACATAATACCGTTCAAAACTTCTTGAGCACCGACTCCGGTCAGGACAAATGAGTTTACTAATATTTTTTCATGTATCCTAAATTTATTACATTATCATTGCGAGGCGAATGATGCTGAGCATGGAATGTGACGATACAAGCAGACATAATAACATAGGTTTCTCTGATATTTTGGGTACGGTTTTTTTGTTATATGAACTATAAATTTTATTTTTCGATACTTTTCCACTTCTAGAAATCCCATTGTTTTTTATGCATACTTGGAATAACATGTTCAATGATTATTTCAGAAAAAATTAATAGCAAGCACTTAGGTTGATAACGAATAAAAATAAGGGATGTTACGTATTGGTATCTTATGATAAAATAATTTAAAAGCAACTAAAGCCGAGATAACTTTTTTGTTTTAATCCAAATAAGTAAATCTCAAAATCTATTTGACACATTTTCAGACTGTATAATTATAAAATATCCAATATAATGCGATGTCTGTTTTACGACTGCATGACAAATCCTCTGTTTACAGACTGCCTGATAAGAATGTATGTATAATCTACTATTACAACGATGATATGCTGATGAAAATATAGAAAAAACTTACAGAAGATTTTGCTTCTCAATATCCTTAGGCATAGTTATATCCTATCACAATATCACAATATGTGAACATAATCCAGATTTGAGTCGCCGCGATCTAATATAATCGAGAAAATTATAAACCGAGGAAAGAATATGCGCCCGAACCTACAGTGATTTGCTTGTTATTATCGATATAAGACAGTTCCTGAACTTCAGTAAATACATATTTACTAAAATACTCAATTTTATCACATCGTTGCGCACTGATGTTATGTTGTTCATTTACTGTTGAAAGGTTAACTAAAAAATTCCGCAATCATAAAAAATCTTGTATACATGTATCCAAAAGAGAAAAATGTTTTATCTCAGGAACTATTTGATCTTTACATTCTATTTTCTATACATAGATCCCGGTTTATCAGGTCTTATGAAGCGCATGATATATTTATCTCTCTCATATGATTATACTTACATATTGAATTTTAAAATCACGACCATCAATACAGGTAAATTAATTACCTGGCTTAAGTTCTACATTTATTATTCAGAAAATCGCCACATATTGGATTTTCGGTTTCGTAATAACACAGAATTTGACTGAATGTGTAAAACGTATAGTCAAAGAGGCAGTCTCAATGTTCTGCTCATGTTCTCATCAAGTAACACACAAGAGCCAGGTAGATTGACTATCAACCAGTTTTGCGAGTGCTAGTTTGAAGGAATTAAAAAAACGATATTATAAGAAGTGACACGAAGTTATTCTCGCACACAACAAGTTATTCGAATAACGAAACAGACCAGGAAATAGATATCTTTTTCCTACAATTCTGGAGATAGTATTTTTTTGATGGCATCGTTCGATTTTATTGCTATCTAAAGATAAGATCAAATTGGCGGAGTATTTGCCGTCATTTTGATATGCGCGCTTAATCAAAAATCTAAGAAAAAAATAAAAAAAGATAATTTTGCAGGGAATTGAATTCTTTATCATTTTGCTCCTATAAAAATTTGTCATATAGTCAACAGCATACGATAAATTTAAGGGTAATGATATTTTTGCTTATAATGGAAAAACTAACAACTTACGCGTGTAAAGACTACTAATATTTATTCATATTTCTAAATAATTGAATCAATTTTTTTACTCCTACGCGTGAGTATGGGAAATGTAATATTTTCGGACAATTTCTGATGTCTTCATCATGAAAATGCAAGTCACTTATTTCCATCAGCCTGTCAATTGGCCATTTTGTCACTGTGTAGCCTCAGCAACCGTTGCTACGATTTTAATGCAAAAAGAGTGATACCATCAACCAGCCTTATCTAATATATCTCATCTTACACTAAAATCACTGCAACGGAAACTGAAATTACTCAGTCACAAATTACCAAATTACCAGTTATCGAAAAAAGTCTTACATTTTCAATACTTTTACGTGGCAGTAAAAAAAATGGATCCAGTTCATAGCGGTACTTTTGATCATAGATAATTATACTATATTATATCCGTTTTGGTACGAATTTTCAACTTTCGCTTCTTATACTTCAACCATCAAAGTACTGAAAAAACGTATGCCCCTTTTCGAAGCAAATTTTATCCTGTACAAAACATAGTAGCACGTCGATCACTTTATTTTTAGTGTAGCCTTTATAAGCGGAAATATTACATGTACCTTTATCCTGCAATTTCTTATAATCTGTTGATGATACGACAATTTTTTAGAAAATAATAAGAAAAATAATTTCATACAAAATTGTTTTATTCCTTTTCTTACACAGGATTAATAAAATAAATGCTCCAGCCAATTAAACAATTACCATTAGAAAGCAATCATCTAACGATACCTCCAAAAAAATTTACTGTTGGCATACAAACCGACAGAAATAGGTGAGATGAATTTTCGTGATGTAGATGATATGAGAACCAGCAAAAAAATTTCCGAGGTTCGGAAATATTCACGATTAAAATACTTTTGGGAAGTAAAAATGAGTCTAAAAGATTATTTATAAAACAACAATGAAGTGATCAGAAATTAATAATACATTTCGGAATCTGGACAAATGTTGATTCTTCCAAAGTTTTTTGCTGCAATGCAGCAATTTTTCATAGCGAATCTCTCTCCAAATTTCATCAAAATCGATGACGTCTTCTTTGTAATTACGAGGGCAAGTAATGGCGTCAGGTAGTTTGGCTCTGCACTTTCCGCGTAAAGTTGTCACCAGTTCATAAACTATTATATTCGGCACAAGTAGTCCCTCTGAGCTAGCTACAAATATGCATAACAAAAAATGAAATGGTGAGGTCAGAAAAACAGGGCCATATAATTAGTCAATACTCTATAGTCCCCACCCATTTGATAACGCTAACGCTAGTTACTTATCTGCTCTAAGTTTTGACCATCTGGCAACGGTGCTGAACCACACCACTCAACCATGCCATCCGCGGTACTGTAACTCGAGTTACAATATCACAGTAAGTCAGACGCAGATAGCATGTGAAGGTTGCCGTCCGTTGCTTCTATAAATATTTTTTAGGAAATCTGTGATGTGTGAAATATGTATTAATAGGTTCATAAAATTATCGCGATTGGAAGAGTATAAATATACTGCTGTTAAAATAATGAAATATATCCTTCCCCACCCATTATAGCCCCTACCTCTGAAATAATTTCAGAATCGTCAAAAAAGGAAGTTGCCGGTTTTTTGTAGTGTTTGTATTCCTAGCTCCGCCGCCACTGGACCCATTTTAAAAAGCTACAAAGCTTTTTCATCATTGGCATAGTAGTAACCTTATGTCAAAATTTCATCAAAATCTGAGCAGCACTGCCCAAGTTATAGACGGGCTAAGGGTTAGCGGTTAGCGATTACAATACTTACTCGCCCAGTGGCGTGGGAAGTAAAAACCGCCAACAGACAGACGAAAATAAGAGAAGAGACGAATTTTCAAGACGTAGACATCATAACCTGATCATTTGCAGATTTAGCATGGTTTTGTATGCAACATAGGGGTTTTTTAGGATTTGGCCCCTCCTGAAAAAATTTGCGGCATGAGCCGTGTTTTATCAAATTAAACTAACGCAAGAAATATTAAAAGAAATGTTGAAACATACTTTGTGGTGTATGAAGAGGCGATTAACTAAGAAATTCGTAGGATTTTTTAATAGTTACGTTCATGTTCTGATGAAAGCAGTCAGCGTTTTGAGCTACTTAGTAGACATCATTTTAAACCTATACTGTAAAATAAGCACACTCTAATGACCCTCTTATGTGGTAGATACAATGTCAATGAAATAATGTATATTTTTGATGTATATTTTTTTTATACTCCAACTACCACGAAGGCTTAAGGCCTAAACACCCATTGGGTACCGTGGGGCTATGGGGGATACAGGGGAAAGGGGGGACGCCACACGGGCTCTGGCGAGGGAACACGTGTGCATGTAACATGCCCACATTCTGGCTCCGCATACGAGATCCGCCGGGTGGTACCTCCGCGTTGGACAGTCAGAGACTCCGAGGAAGAAAATTCTTCATTGAGAAAAAAGGTTAATTAAAGCAATTAAAATTTTAATTGGGTCAATTAAAAAATTTAATCGACTAATTTAATAAGTCTAAGTAAACTCCAATTTCTCAAACAGTTTACTTGAATCTATGAAACTAGTTTAATTAAACTTAAGCGCACTGGCTTAATAAAATGTATCAACCCGTTTACTTAGATTGAGTACACCAATTTATTTAAAGTTAATGAACTATTGAAATGAGTTTACCTTTATTAGGTAAAAGAAATTAGAAAAACGGCGAATTTTATGATCATCTGTATCTCCATCATTTCTTGAGGCACCACACAGTATGTTTCAAAAGTTTTTCTTAATGTGTTCTCCTACTAATAAAAATTCGATAAATTTCCGGGATTGATACCCTACCACAAAAAATTACATCTTGCCGATGTTAACTGCCCCTGTACAAAATTTTTGGGGGCGGCATAACTTTTTCAATTTTATATAACATTTCTAGATCCGTCAACAGCTGATTCCGGTCCTGCTCAAATGTAATGATTGCCGAGATTGGAAAGGTTAATAGGAGTATAAAGGTTGATTCTCACGATACATTCCGTTTCCATTCCATATCAGTTTCGTAAACGTTCAGTACAATTTGATTGTATACACAGTATACCTTACGGATAATGTGCATACACACGCAATAGCCTGCTTTAAGCGAAGGCGAATATTCAATTTCAATACTTCACGGAACGGTTATGGAATGGAAACGGAATGTATAGTGAGCATCAACCTTTAGTTGGCTTTCATTGAGATTGTACAGACCGCGACATCTGGCCAGTAGTAGAGGTATTAATCTATACAGCATTAAGTAACCTACAGAATGTCTTCATAATCATGAGAATTAAGTCCATTAATCGAAAGATTACGCCATACTATTACTATGACTGAAAATAGTCTGAACCTCAGCATTTTGGGTTTGGAATTAGTCAGTGGAAATATAAAAAATGAATCTCGTTTTTAGTTACCTAAATTTGCATTTAGTCAGTTTAGCAGCTTAAATCTAATATCTCTATTTTTTTCTCACTATTGTGCAATCTTTCTATTTTATTTTTTATTGTGACTCCTCTTGTCCCTTACTCTGTACGACCGCTCCATTATTCAGATTGTTGAACAATATCACAGAAAAGGCTCGAATCAATAAAGTTCTTTATAGCAATTGCGGTACCTGATTATCTATTATTTAAGCTCTAGTTTGTGGGGCTGTTTTAGCATTAATGCTGTAAGCATACCAAACCTTACATAATCATGATTAAATATTTAATGAACAATCATCACAAAATAACTAATACGGTTCTCAGGTATAACAGAAATATGTGACCCAATTTCTATGAATTATTTTGATATGTGTTGTATAACTTTGCAGGCATACCTACAGTTTGCTATCGTGTATATTTTGGATTAATGCATGTAAGACAAGAATGAGTAGATTGACCCAATACTTTCCAAAGCGCTACATTTTAGCTTGACTACTATAAAATAATTAAGGTTATCTTGTTGATCTGTTGTTTGTGTAGTGAGGATCCTACTAGGCTGCGTTCGGTTATCGTATTTCCATATTCTCTTCTATTTTCCCAATCTTTATTTCCTTTTTCTCATTGGTTCTTCTATCCATTTCCTCCATTATGATCTGTTAAAGTATCTAATCTAAGTGGAACTGGGGAAATATTCTTACGGCAGATTGTTTCATATCGAAAAAAATAATTACAGGTCACAATTTTGTAAAATATAGGCTAACTTTGGAAGAAGAAATGTTCAATTTGGATTGAAAAGAATCAGATTCTTACCATTTGACTCATGATATATTATAAGAGGACATCGCTATCGACATTGTCTTCACAAACGCCTATTCAACAGTCTGCGACCTAAAATAATCATTAACATAGGCATAGAATCGATCAAACTTCTTTTTGCAGATAGCAAATACTATTACAAACAGCTTTTGTAGATCTCAATTTTGTGAAATATGACCTACTTTTCAAGAGAAAAAAGTTTAATTTTTTGTGTGGAAATAAGCATGTCCTCCGAAGTGATACATTCTAAAGGGCGATACTTTCGACATTTTCTTTTTAAAAGCTATTGCAAAAGTCTGCGGCCAGGTGGAATACGTTAATCTTAAA